TGGAAAACAAATGGGAATTATGCTGGCATTTTCCCCCAGATGTGCAGATACTGATACAGAACAGGGGAGGAAACTGCTTTCAAATAACTACAGCTTCAAAAAAACCACACCAAAAACCTGAAATGTATGAGGATGCACATTACAACTCATATAAAGTACATTCCTGTTCTACTCTGAAGAGCAGATCAGCACCTAAAATATGTTGAACTTCAGATGTAAACTCCAGTCTTTTGCTTTCAATGATACATACGCTCACACTAAATTTTAAGCGTACCTGCAAGCACTGTTGAACTGTGGCCTGAGCGAAGAGTGAAGGGCATTGCTCTGAAATTCTAGAGTAACTCCAAGGGTTACCTTGGAAAGCTTAGATGATACATAATTTCTACAATTATTTTCACTGCTCTGAATATTTAGCTCCCTACTAATTCATCACTACAAATGTCCGGACTCTGTGAGGAACTGGATATACAATATTTAACTTCACAGAAATATGATTGGTGCTTAAATTCAGAAGGGGAAGGATGATAATTTCTTTTTAAATACCTTCTAAAATGGAGCTATAGGCATAAATACATATATTCATCTTATCTATTGAGAGATAATAAAAATTAGAATGCTCATGTGTCGCATCTTCGCCTTAGCATAAAATCCACTGGTACCTTATTTAGTTTACCACCAATATTACATTTTTTTTCTCAACCAACTATTGTAGTATAATTTTTTTTAGCGAAATGTCTGAGAAAATTTACCCTCTAGACTCCCTACTTGATGTTTTATAGAAATACGCATCTTAAGCCTTAATTCACTGCACAAACAAAAAGTCTTATGATGGAGAAATAAAAATTGTTATGGACTGTTGCAAAAAAAAACATTATACTGAAAAATATTTTCCCTTTTGCAGGCTGTAATTATACTGAAAAATATTTTTCCTTTTGCTGTAAATTGCATGTGTCAGGGCAATCCCCGGTATCGATATAGGCTGGGGGATGAAGGGATTGAGAGCAGCCCTACTGAGAAGGACTTGGGGGGACTGGTGGATGAAAAGCTGGACATGAGCCAGCAATGTGCACTCGCAGCCCAGAAGGCCAATCGTACCCTGGGCTGCATCCAAAGAAGCGTGGCCAGCAGGTGGAGGGAGGGGATTCTGCCCCTCTGCTCTGCTCTGGTGAGACCCCACCTGGAGTACTGCATCCAGCTCTGGAGCCCTCAGCATAAGAAAGACACGGACCTGTTGGAGCGGGTCCAGAAGAGGGCCACAAAAATGGTCAGGGGGATGGAACACCTCTCCTATGAAGAAAGGCTGAGAGAGTTGGGGTTGTTCAGCCTAGAGAAGAGAAGGCTCCGGGGAGACCTTATTGCAGCCTATCAGTACTTAAAGGGGGCTTATAAGAAAGATGGGGACAGACTTTTTACCAGGGCCTGTTGTGACAGGACAAGGGGGAATGGTTTTAAACTAAAGGGGGGTAGATTTAGACTAGACATAAGGAAGAAATTTTTTACACTGAGGGTGGTGAAGCACTGGAACAGGTTGCCCAGAGAGGTGGTGGATGCCCCATCCCTGGAAACATTCAAGGTCAGGCTGGACGAGGCTCTGAGCAACCTGATCTAGCTGAAGATGCCCCTGCTCATTGCAGGGGGGGTTGGACTAGATGATCTTTGAAGGTCTCTTCCAAGCCAAATTATTCTATGATTCTACAATTCTATGTGTCTGTCTTGCATGTATTTTTAATGAACAAATACACATGATAAAACAGACCAGATCCTGATGCAGCACAAAACAAGTGCCCTAAAGTATGAGTTGTTATCTTGATTCAAATGGGATGATTATTTCTGAGCTGAGTGTTCAGAACATATTTAAACACCTAATGGCTGCAAACTGGCAACTGATTTTTTTTTTTTTTTCATTCTATGGCAGGACTGCATAAATTGTTTACTGCTTTTTCACAAATGTCTCCTCCCTAGATATCTCATCCCATTGCAATTATATTGCATTCAACTGTGTCACGGCTGTGCTCAGCTACATGAACTCCTATCACAGGACAGGCTGGCTCTCAGGGACTAGTGTCCATTCACTCTTCCCCCTTCTTCCGCCAAAGAGCAGAGCATTTAGTTGTTGTCTTGGGCATCAGTGCATTCCTAGCAGCGGAACCAGGCAGCACTTTCCACTTCGAGTTGTAAAGGCTGGAGGTAAGTGAGAGCCAAGAGGAGAACAAGCTACACCATCTCTTCTAAATAATCTTGGAGTAAAGGTGAAGGGAATCAAAGGACCAAAGGAAAAAGTTAGAAAGGAGAAAGCACACCTGAGGTAGGGAAGGAATCAATGGGGATGGGATGGGGATGGGGATGGGGATGGGAAAGGAAAAGCTCTGTGAGAGAGAAGGAACAGATCTTATGTGAAACGGAGTTTCAAAGGATAAAATTTTGCTGTCTCCTATTAGTTACAGTTTTGAAGATTAATGTGAGTGAGGCACTATTACTACTTGTGTGTTGCTAGCACAGAAGGAAGGTGCATGCACATGTACTGGCACTGAACCTACAGCGTTAGCTCCGGTCAGACTGGGAACAGCTGTACCGGGGGGGCTCAACCCACGCCAGTCCTCGATCATTCCCTGCTCTGCTTCTTCAGCACCGGCCAGAGTGACGCAGCACAACATTTTCAGGCACCTCCTTGTTTGAGGGAGTATCAATGAGGTCTAACCGCCCTATGTTCCCCATACCAGGAGACTTCAAACGTTGCTTGTTAAACTTCTAATGATTTGGAAAAGAACAGCAGACACAGAGTCCTGAGGACTAAGCCACTTGTTTACCACCACCATGGGTGCGGAGGGGGAGACAGTGCAAATTCTGCCTTGCTGCCTGGCCCGGGTACGGTGTCTGCAGCCATGGGAGTGGGGAGAGGAGTTTCCTAGAATTGGAACAGGCAGGGATATCATGGACAAGTGTTTTGCAAAGGCAGGATTCATCTCACCATAGTTCGATCACCTAGAATTTAAACATCTAGTCTAGGCCAGTTGGCTGGGCTACTCTGAGGTCAGTAGGGAGAGACAAACATTGTCAGTGTAGGACTCATCTCATCCTTTGACAGGCGCTTCTCTGTAATAACTGAAAAAATTTTTGAAAATTCTAAAACTTCTAAACCAGCGTTTTAGGTTACCAGTCTCACTTTGAGGGTATAATCACTAGGGATTAGTCTGATACTACTAAGCTCTTTGCATCAAAAAACTCTCAAAATAGTGAGTGCTATCAATCTGGGCTAGATATCAGAAACCTAAGAGCTCACCATCCTCCTATCGCTCTCTGAATTGTTGCATTCCTCATACAAAAGAAAAATGAAGTGCCGTATTTAATGGGTTTTGAAATAAGCACCAAATTGTCACGTACTAGTATTTTGACTTCCCTAGCTGAATCTACCATAAACGGGACTAAATATGCACATTTTCCTTGGTTAGCTCTGTATTTAGATATGTTCTTTCTCTTCCCTCATTTCATTATTTACATTTTTGTTCAACTACCAGCTTTTCTAGGCTTGTGAAATAATCACAGAAGTGACGAGCAGCCTGATGTTACTTGCCCTAATAATCTCCTTGCTTAAGCAAGATTTTAAAGGTTTTTAAATAACAGGCCCAACAACCACAGCTTACAAAAATAGACTGTAACTTCTTGTCTTAGTCTGAATTAAATCAGGGAATGGCCAGATCTTAACAGGGGAAGAAAAGAACAGAGGAGCCTTCAGAAAACTAGTGACTCTTCTGTGATATCAACCTCTACTGGGAAAAGCAAAAGCTCATTAAATTTTACCAACTCATCTGTAAATGAAAGACTGAAAAAGATGATCGTCTTAGGTGCTTTTAAAGGAAATCAATTTCTAGCCCGGAAAGCCTAGAAAGGCTATATCTGCTCTATATTTCTCTATTGTGTGCTATATATTTTTCAAGTTCTGAAAATTTTAGAATATAACCTACATTGTGGATGCATTTACATTTTGGGGAATGATCAGAGGTGCTTTAAACTTCGTTGTATATGAACTACAATTAGTAACAATTAAAAAGTTCTAATCTTTGCCACAGAGAAGTAGCCCTGGCTGAATAAGTCTTATTAGTGAAATACTGATAATATTAGTATCCAAGAGATGCAAAGTTTTGATGTAACGTTGCTCTTCACTGTAACGCAACCTCAAATAATTATGACAAAAACTTATTCAAATAGTGGATCAATAACATGTATGCAGTGAAGCCTCGTTCCCTGCTTAGATCTCATTTCTCTTACCTGGTCTCTTCTGTAGCTATAAAGAAACCATCATCTGAAGCATCAAGCCAATTTTGCCTCTGTCTCTTGATCACTGGAATGGTGCTTGTCTTAATGGCACTTGCACTGGCTTGCAAGGCCTTACCATTAGTCATATGAACCTGGGGAGCAGCACGCTGAAATCATAACAAAAAATGGGAAAGATATTTGCCTGAGAACAAGCATAATTCTGTTAACTAATTCTCCTGTAAAGGGCAGGTGCTTACACACAGCACCCTTCTCAAAAACCAGCTGGTCTTCTTCAGTAAGTACCTGGGGGGTCAGATAACACCCTGTGCCCATTGATGTGTTTTATACACAGCTCTGAAAGCTCTTTAAAAACTGAATTATCTATTGCTAATGTCATTTTATACAAAGAGAAATTGAGGCATGAATCAATGCCGTGAACTAAGCAGTTCCGCAACAGAAACCTGCTTACTTCAGGAGAGAATTCACGTTTTCTGAGCAAAACCCCAATATCTCAACCAATGAGATGAGACTTGTTTTTTCATCAAAGTATGGCATTAATCGGATTTTTAAAAAATCTATACTTCTCACTTCATACATCCTTACTCTCTCTGTCTGTCTTTTTAAATAAACACCACTGTATAAGACACGTGCTGCTAACCTAAATGGAAGCAGGGTAACAAAGGTTTATATCACCTTGCTGGTGCCATGGTTCTTAGGTTCACTCACCAGTCATTACATATTAGAGCTGACCGCAACATGTCTGCCTTCATTTTAATACAGATAACCTTAAACAGTGCATTCATTTTTCACTAAACCTTTACCTGGAATAATTGTGCAACAAGAGAGCAAGTACTCAGATCTAATGAGAGAAGCTGTCATCTCATCCAAGACAAGGAGAGACTAAGAATAATATTTTCAATACAGTCTCTAGGTAACGTTTTGGAAGAATATCCCATGACAAATATATTCATTTTGGAAATAACAGTCTTGTTTGCCACATGATCCATTATCAGCAGGACTAAATAACAACACTATTTGATTAAAACAGACATGTTAGAAGACATTATACAAACATGAAAGTTTTGCTTACTTTATCTCACAAGGATTCAGCATCATGTTTTCATAGGAAGAAGTACTATTTCTTGGTGAAATAATACAAGTATTCCCTCATTACTGATAGCATTTTTGCAATATTCCTAAAACGTGCACAATTCTGCACGTTCGTGGGAGTAACCTCTAATTAGGGGACCGATTCCATAGACACCGAGTAAGGAAGGGGCTGGTAACATCCACAAAGACTGGCAGAACAGAACACAAAACTGATCTCAAATCATGTCATAAAAATACAACAGCCAAAAATAATAAACAATGGCCTCATTTCTTCTGCACAATTTTTACACTCGTATTCAATGTATTATATTCACATTATGCCACAACTTTTAACATACCCCAATCCATACCATTTGCTCCCTCCAGTAGGACAAATTTTATGCATTCGACAAAGAATTCCAGCGTTCATTATTTTAGTGCAAATAACTGAATAATCGCCTCTATGATTCCTTAGATATGATGTAACAAAACCAAACAAGAACAAAAAGAGCAACAAGACATCAAATTTGAGCGAGTCTCTCTGAAATACAGATACTCTTTCTTAGAGCTAAACTATTTTCCTTTGTCTTAGAAAGAAGTAAGGCTTATGGTGAATTTAGTTGCTGTTGCACATAGTTAGGCTGTAAATCTATCTTTGCAGTCCACCTAAATATTTGCCTAAATTTTTCCATTTTTTTATTTGGTGTCTAGACTGAAGTTTGGTTTTCACATATTTTTTCGTGTTGGCTTTGGTGGAGAGGAAGTAGTAAAGGACATGCTACTGGAAGTAATTCAGCCGTTATTTAGAATAAATTCAGGATAAAATACATAGTTTGGATGAAATTAGAAATTCATGAAAGTATTTGACTGATGATCTGTTAGTGTACAAAGTGGATAGTGCTCAAAAAGTGAGTAAGAATTCATACATGGAAAATGCTGCCGTACATCAAATTTCACAGTACATCCAAACTAGTTATTTTTATCTGGCAATGGGCATTGCCATACGTTACAGAGGAACATTCAAGGGCTCCAAGGGCAATTTTTTGCTGTGCTTCCCCAGTCACAAATGGTTTTAAGTTATCAAATATAATGGTTTATATCTTTTCACAGGCTCCTTTCTAATACACCACTGAATGTTTCCTTTACTCAAAACAACACGCACAGGCAAAAAATGTTCAGGAAATGTACAAGGTACAAAAAGTGCATTTCCTATGGCATAAACTCTGAATAACAGTTAAGCCTCATGGAAAAAGTATGTGGTTTTTCATAATGCTTTTTACCCTGGCAGAGACAGATGTCATTACTAGTTCTGAACTTCTGCTTTGTCTACTTTTATTAGACCCTAACTCTTATTCCAGGCAAGATATAACATTACAGAAAATAGTGCAAGGGTTACAATACAATCTCTTTTCTGTTGCATCATATTGGTTAGAATTTGCTCTTTTATTTTGCTTCTCCCCCAGTCCTTTCAAGCTATTTGAAGAAATTAATTACATTTCACTTAAGAACAAGAGAAAATAAGACCATTGTTCTCCAGTCTGTGTGCTAGGGACCACATTATCTTTAATTTCTAGTTAAATCAAAACAATTGAAGTTCTCGAACAATTTAGGAGTAGAAAATCAGTTCATTAGTTCCTCTCAAAAAATATATTTACCACTGTGAATAAAAATGAGCTTTCAATGCCACTGTCATACTAATATCAACACCAAGAACAAAATTAACTTTCAAAGTACTTGTTAAAAGTTTTTTTAATTTTTTTTTTTATCACACCCCCACACCCCCCCCCGCACACAGTTACACTAGGAAGGTTATGAAAGCCTCAGGAATACTACCTGTACCACCACAGAAGCCCTACTCAATCAAAAAACCTTGCATGCAGAAAGCTCCAATAATTTCATCATAACACTGCCATGTGCAATTAGCAGCTGGCATTTTGATTTTTGACTGTGTACATCACTAATAAGCTGTGCTGTCATTTTGCAACAAAACCACTGGTATTATGAGTCCACATACCAGTGGCAGATCACAGAGCAGCACCTGAGCAGCAGGAACTTTACCCAGAGTTTGCTAACTGCACGTTGGACACATCCTCCTCCATGCTGAGTGACTCCTTTCTCCCAAGTTTTTCCTCAGCTCAGTCTGGGTACGTTCATTGAGATCTCTTGTACCTCTAGGACAAAATTGTTCCATGCCCAAAAGACATCATGAGAAGACCTATCTTAGAGTGCAACTGAAAGAAAAACGTCGCAAGGCTAAGGCAGCTCTGGTTCAGGCAATGTTACATCCAATAAAGAACACAAATATTAAAGCCAGCACAGAGCTGTCTGGGAAGTTTTACCTGCCGAACAGGAGGTCTCCATGCTGCAGACTGAACACATCGTCAGAGATTTCTGAGACCAAAGGCAATCTTTTCAAGGTCTTCAACAAGGAGGAGTTTATGGGAAGACCTTTTGCTATGATGTCTTCACAGCTTCACCCATCCCCTGCTAAAACACTTCTCTGGGGGCACCATTCTCAGGTACTTCTCTCACAGGCTGGTGCACAGCTCAATTTTTGAGAGCTGCTTGCAAGTGCTGCTAATCAAAACTCACCTGGCAGGGGCATGAATTTCCCATTTGCATACACAAACGTTCATTTCCCAGTGAGCAACTGAGACACCTCCAATGGTCAATGAACGCAACAGTCCCTTTCATTAAGAAGCTACGTAAGAATGTGTTTCTCTCTACTAAATCTTCTGGAAGAAGCAGCACTCATTCAATCAGCTACTAATTCAATCAGTTGCTTAACTGTAAGTCCAGGTCTTTCAATACAAGGTGCACTAAGCATAAGGCTTTGCTATGTCAGAGAAACAGAGGAATTAGCCGTATAGCATCACTAGACACGTGATATGTGCTGTAGGGGCAGCTACCAGTCCAATAACATTTAGATACTATTCCAAAAACATCTATAAAGATAATCCGAACACTTTATGTTAAAGTGGCAACTTAAGACAGCATCTCTATTACAGAGGGTAAATCTCCTATCCCCACTGGCTCCCAGAGAAGTTTCAAGCACAAGGATATTAAGATGCATGTTGAAAGTCAGAGAGGAATCCTGTACAAATTCAGAAATGGGACTCAGATCCCAAATCACAGTGGAGGTTCCTGTCTATGTTTCTCAACTTGTACTGGGATATAAATGGCTGAGCATTTATCTATTGAGAGCCACTGAAGATTCTGAAAAGACATCCAGCTTTGAAATAAATACATAACACCAACAGGCATTGTAATTATAAAAACTAACGGTGAATGTTTATGCTGTGACTGAAAGAATGTTTAACTCGATTATCATAAACTCCTAAATGGACTTGAATGTACGATCTCTTACATTTTTCCTCATCCTGTCAAAAAGGAAAAAATTCCCGTTGCCTTCAGTTAGCATTTTTAAAATTCTTGCTGCATCTTTAAACAACAAATCAAATCAAACAGAGCAAAAGAAGCTTGCTACATGGAGAAAAAAAAACACTAGAAGAAACCATGCATGCTCAGATGATTGGTAATAATCTATATTAATTGGTCCAATATATTTGACCTAATTATACAGGATATAGTGTAAAACAAGTGTGGAATTAAGTTAAGTTTAAATCAGGTATTGATTCTGTTTTGCCACACCTGAAGTGTTCTTATTTGCAAAGGCATTAGCATTATACCTCTAATACGCATCAAGGCTTGGGGCTGGTTTAGTTTATTTATTCATGGAGATTTGAGATGAATGCAAAAATTACAAAACACAGCCTCCACACAGCATGGAGTCGCAAACATTGATACTAGCATGCAGGCACACATTCATTTTGGGTATAGAATTTCATTTAAGAAACTCAAAGGCTATTAAAAAAAAAGATCTTCACACAACAGATCATATACAAGAAATTAACCAAATTGCCAACACAATTATTACTTTTGAACCTCCTGATTTGTTATCAAACCTTTCGCAAAACACCTAGAATAGATGTAATGCTGAAAATCCAAGTCAATGACTTTTCTGTGCAAGGGGAGGGGGGAAAAAAAAAAAAGAAAAAAAAAAAGACAACAGTTGACTTTCCAAAGCATCTGGGCTAAAATACTACAATGTTTATAGCCTCTGTATTTCATTGAAGTTACACAAAAGCTGAATAAACCATGTCTTTAAAAGCAGCATTTTTAGGTAAATATGTATTTATAGAAATCAGTAACGAAAGACTAACCTAGGTGTCTATCCACAGAATAAGAGGAAATTCCTTTTATGGTTAAAACATAGAAGATCCTTTCCCTCCTTCCCTCCCTCCCTAGGCCCTTAAAATTTTTATAGTTTTTTATTTTTATGAACAAGAATCTGAAACAAAAAATAGGGAGATATCACTGTATTTAAATACAGAAGAAGAATTCTTATAATGTTCTCAGAAAAACTGCACTTCTTTTTCCTTAGCAAAGTACACTCTATTCCTCATTGGCTTTAACATAAACCTGAATCTTCAGAGACAATCCACCACCCATAAATGCAACTTAAAAGGAGTTCAAATACTTCGCCTTGGTAAGACAAAAGCTTTTTTACATCAAAGCATCTGAAGCAGTATACAGATTTGCTGCTATACCTCTCACTTTCTGATTGACTAAAGATCCTGCTTTAACTTTTTATCTGTTACAATATTAACCATAATCAGTCAGAAAAAGGGGACTTTATTTCAGAGTAATTATTTATTGCAGTAGTCATTCAAAAATGGATCTCAGCAGTATTGCTTTACTGTGTCTGTATTGAATAGATAATCTCATACTGTTTCTAATGCAAGCAATAGTATATTTTCTGGCTTTACTGACATATTCTACCTACTCATTGGAGAGTGAGAAATCTTCCATTGCACATTCAGTTATGCTTTAATTGCAGAGAATAGTGGACATATTGTTATAACCTTTTCACACTAACCAGAATACTTATTTTTAATTGTACTTTTATTTATGTAAGTGCAATGGACAATTACCGCACACTGACTGCAGAACTTTAGTCTGAGCAGTCTGAGTTATTCAGCAGAGAGGTCTGGAGAGGTTCACAACGCAGGAACCTCAAGAACTCGAGCTATTTAAAAACTTTTCTCTTATCTCTTTAAAGTCTGACCGTGTTTTGGTGTGAGGACACATTTATGTAGGCAAAACCCCCATTTCCTTGGGTCACTTTTTAGGGCTGTTTTGATACATTAATGGAAAAGAGAGACATGAAATGTGTTATCTTCAGAGTAAAATTAATAGGAAAAAAAAATGAAGGGAAATGAAGAGTGTTTTCACCAACTTCAGCATTAACCTCTAGCTCTTTTCCTGACACCAATGCAGAATTGGAAAAATATTGAAAAAATTTTCAATCCCTTCCAAAGTTTTATAGCAGAGGAATACACTTGAATAACTATGCATCTTATTTTGAAATGGGTCTATTTAAACCAAATTCATGACAAACAAGGATTACATCACATCCAGTAGAAAACCAAAACATCAGTTTTTCCAGACGTATCTGTACTATTTTGAAATTTTGTGATCTGTAGTCCTTACCTATTTATTACCCGTTTGCACTGGATATTAATGACTATTGATGATAAAGGCAATGAACTATATTTACCCTTTGTCCCCTGTTGAATCAAGTATCTGTGTGGGAATTTACATGTCCCACAAATGCTGTACATACTGAAGAGGTAATAAACTTGAAGGGACACCCTGAAAACTGTAGGAATGAACACAAACAAGCTGACATCATGTTTTGTTGGGTTTTATTCTAAAATTTCAAAACTCGCCTCAAAAATTGGTCTTTTTCCAAAAGTGGATAGCCCTCCCCCCAAATATCATTCCCAGTCAGAGAAAGGTTTGCTTTATGTGAATTTTTGTTCAGTCCTTATCTAACTTTTATTAGGAGTTTGAAACAGAAAGAGACTGAAAACATTTCTCACCCTATAAAAACCCAAGGCAGACACTAAATCCATGACATTTTTATGCATAAAACTTTTTAATCTCATTTTTGAAGATGTATCTCTCCGTTTAAACTTTTCTCTGTTTCTGAAACCCAAACTATCAAACTCAAGGTAAAGTCAGAAACCATCCTCACAGGAATGTGATGCAAGAAATTACTCAGCGTATGTTTTGAACTTTAAATGTGTTCTGACATGCGATACACACAGAACACAAGATATTTTATCAACATTAATTTGACATAATCAAAAATCACTTAAACACATAACATACAAAATTGTAACTGGATTTTTCACTTATTCAAACTGACAGCACTGCTACTTCTTAAGCTATTCAACCTCACATTTTTTCCAAGACTTCCCATGAAATACGATGCAGACAGACTCATTTTATCTCTACAGTGATACTAGACTTTATAAAAAAACATGCCAATGGCTTAGGATACCACTATATCCGCTTTGTTTTCATAGGAAAAATCATATCTATAGATAGATCAATACCTATAATCTCCTCTATACTTACCATTATTGTTCTTGTTGTATGGCTGGATGATTCTGGAAAACAAAAGAACCACAGCACATTAGAGTATTGTCTTTAGCCATAAAAGCCCTATTTTCTGATGCTCAGCCTGCAGGCTAAGATGCTACTGTTCAGCTACAACAACGAACATATCAGAAAAGCAGAGATTGGAAAGATTTCTCATGAAACGAGCATGACAATCATCACTGGTCCTGAAAATATACGGCAGACCATAGCATGCTGTTAGCTGCACTCATTCTCTTTGCTTAATTATCCTCTTCTGCAGGAAAATATAAAAATGGAACTAATTCATAATTCATGTTTCAAGAAGTGGGTTTTTTCATTTTGCTTTTAACATATGGCATCATTTAACATGGAGGATTAGCACTGCAGAAAAAAAAACAAATAGCATCAGCATAATTCCATTACTATTCCCACTTGAAAAAGCTTTCTAAAACTAGACAATCCTTTTTCTAAGAATTTTGAGATGGATTCGCAGTTTGAAATTGACAAAGTATATTGAGAAGTGTAACATCCAGAAATCTTAATTATTCTCTCCTATACGATAAATCAGGAGTCAGTCAACTGAACTCACAGTTATATTTATATAAAATTGCTGAGGAATCATGACTAGCCCAATGGCTAACATAGATTTCACCCCACTGTTTAAATTAAATTACATTTGCTTTTTTTTCCTCCCAAGGACAGAAATCTCACCCTCAGGCTTCAAAATGCTACAGTTGTCATATTACAGCCATGTTCTTTTCCGAAGCAGTATAACTGCAGTAACTAAACATCCTCCTAAACAGTTAAAAAAACTGCAAGAAAATGCGCTGCTGATCCATAAGACGCAAGATGATGCTACTAGCAATCTCATAGACTTGCTCAAAAATTTGGGTTAGACATCGTATCGGCTATAGTACACAAAATTCTTAAGGAAAAGACATTTAGCAACACTACATGAGTTCTGGGTAAAATGTACACAATTCTGCATGAATTGAATCAGCAGAGCGTCAATTCTGCAAGTGAGATAAATGTACGATAATTACAATGGGTTAGTTATTCTTGCCCCGGTTCCAAATTGCGATTCTTATGGGGGTTCCAACTGGCATCACTTACACAAAGAATTCTCCAGGGGTTTTGTTATTGTTAAAAATAGTATTAAAGAGATTAAAAGGACATGAGAAAGAACAGCTGCACATCTCTTTCTGAAAAAAATGGTAACTACACTCCCAAACTGGTGTTTCTTTTTCATTTTGAGGAGTCATTTTGACCAGTCTGAAGGTACAGTTCAACCACTGATAGAAACAAAGACAAGCCATTTTAAACATCTCCAACTATTTAGAAACTTCAATCTGATATTCAGCAGTAATTCCTGTATCTAATTTACATTTACATTTGTATAAGTCTTCATCCTTAATCAAATCTAATTAAAAAAAAAATATATATATATCAATACAGGTACCAATAACTTCCTATCAATAAAGGTTCTATAATGTGAAAACCTACCTAAAGCCTCCGATATTTTAGTTGTGAGCGCCTCCCCTAGCCCCCTTTTCCTCTCTTTTCGCACAAAAATTATCGTATATAGAAATACATTTAGGTCACCTTGCCTCCGGGCAAGTTTTAAACTGGTAGTATAAAAATTAAATACTGTGACAGTCTACTGTTTCCTGATTCCTGAATGTATTTGGCACTGTTATAAAGTAAGAGAAGATCACAGTAGAGTGAAGAACTCTATAATCTGTTCAGTTTTTATCTTCACAGTAAAGTTATTTTTGTTATTACAAGTTTGTTTATTTTTTTGACATCCCGGTGAAAGAACATTTCAGGACCTGAATGTTCCTGAGAAAACCCAAAGACTGCATTCATGGAAGTATAACCACCTGAATAACTCTTGAGACAAGGACTCGTTCCATTTATAAGCCCAACTACCCAGAAAAAAAACCCAACCAAAACCCAACCTATCTCCAAGAGCACAACTGCATTTCCTGAGGAATCCTCAACTTAAGCAGAATTATCAGGTTAAACAAAAAGGATGGGGCAGCTTCTCTCTTGAAATACAGAGAAGATACATTACACAGCACTTCCAGTCACCCCCAAAAAGATCAAAGTGAATAAACAAAAATCCCTATTTTTTATACTCAGATACCACAGTAATAAAATCTTCACTCTTACTCAGAGGTGCTAGGCTTTTGGCATAGCTTTATATGCCAAGTCTAAAAAACCTGTGCTTAGCCATACTCGGTCACCCTCTCAGTTCCACAGACAACTGAGTGAGAGAGAGAATATCTCCCTAAAGGGAACTGACGAACAGACGAATATACCTGGAGGCTGTTAAGCAGCGTATTTTTGAAGAATACTTTACAGACACTTAAGGCAATGCCAACAGCTGTTAACTCCAGGATATTATCATATTGATAACATATTAATAAAACCGAGCAAAGAAGTGAAGAAAGATGTGTTATATTTGTAGAGTAATATCCCTGGGTTCTATCATACAATAAAAATATTCTCTGGTTTTTGCATCTCTTTTTCTTAGCTTTTATTGCTGTAGATACTGAAATATCATCTAAGTTGCCAAACATCTTTAAGAAAGACCTGAGTATATCCATAAATAAGAGTCTAGGGAAATAACTGTTTAATAAGTAGACATAGTCAAAAGATTCTAGGATCTAGCAGAGACTACTAATTAAGGTGCCATTGCTACACAATTTAAACTCTTACATACTCTGGTACCCAAATATTTAGATTTTAGAACTGAGGAGACACTGATTTCTTCCAGAAAATAATTACACCCTGATTTGGCAGGATTCTGACCAACGTTTATGCCTGAACACACACCAGCCAATTCTGTGGAAAACTTTGTTTTTAATTAAAGCAACTAAGGAAGAAAGCCCTTGCTTCCAATTAAAAGGCAGTCATGCAGCATTCAAAAAGGTGTGTTTTACAAAAGGTCTGCTCGCCCATGCAACCTCCAATGCAGCTTGAGGGCAACAGAGCTTATTTAAAAACCACAAATGTCTCGGTGTTCAACAGAACAGAAAACAAAACCCTGGATTTTCAGTTTCATCTGCCAAGTTTTAGAATGCCTTTGGGAATTCAAATAATCAGGCTCCAATTTCAGTGAAACTGGCACCAATGGACACTTGGTTTATAAATGAGTTCTTACAGCAAATGATTTTCTGCAAGGCAATAATCTGTACTTGCATTTTTTCAGTAGAAAGGAAACTCCGGGATACAGAATGATTCTCCCCTTACGGCCGATGAAGTGCTAGTGAAGTGGATTACTCCACTTTAAACAAAAATGGTTAGACAACATTGCCAAGAAGGGGTTTTGGTGATCTGATGCGAGTAAATGACAGTAAATGCAACTTCAGTACTGACAAGATGTTTAGAAGTTTATAATTGTGGAGAAATTGATGCACCCAACGGCAGAAACTGCCTAAGATGTTCGTATGCTCTTTCTACAACATAATGAGTACGTTGTAAAAAGAAATTTCCTTACATTATAAGTTGCTTTACCAATCATACTGACCAATCCAGTGTTCCTCCCTGTTTATGGGCACTAGGAGACTATAAAATTTCCCACTGTAAAACCGTTTAAGGCTAAATCAGAAAAAGTCCGCTGCTAAGGGGTGGTGCCAGCTACAGAACTATGTCAAGTTTATATATTATTCCCCAGCAACATTTTTTTTTTTCCCTTAAGGGTTCTTCAAGCCAGGACAGAAACCACATCCTTAATAACACTCCAGTCCTTTTCCAGCTGTTCATGTGTTATGTTTATATGTGCTATTCTTTAGTTTTGCCGACAGGAAACTTAAGTTATCTGATATTCATCTTTCTCTTTTATATTAACAGGGTCATCAGCAATACTAGTGGGTGAAAGGTGCCCTTTTCTAAACCTTCCAGAATAAATACGCTTCAAGATAACGTCATTTAGACACGTGGAAAATAAAGGCAGACGTGCAGTAGTGGACGTGTTTAATCCTAGTAACACTTGCAGCTTATCGTGGTACATGAGACTGTGAAGAACCTTTTCACTCAGGATGGACCACCTTATGAAATAAGCTGAGAAAGGAAGACTGTTTCGTTATTTCTTCTCAACTCAGGTTATGAATATTTTAAGTAACCAAAATAATTGTTTTATTCCTACCAGTTTGTGGCAGTGGAACAAGTGACATTAAGTGTTACTTCAAAAGTATTATTAGAAAAATATATATCTTGTAATCATACTAAGAATGAGTTTGACTTTGAGGAAGACCCTTAGTCTCCCAAGATTGAAGTGTGAAACACTAGAGAAACAATATACAGACAACAAAAGCAAAAAAGCACAAAAACATACAGAACGATCACAAAGCATTTTCCCCAGACACGGGAACTTTCCCGTTACGCTGCCTAAGCACTTTCTGAAGGTGCCTTCCACGTTGCATTATGTAATAAAATTGTTAAGAACTACAGCTCTGTAATCACAGCTTACAAAAAATAATCAACCTACTTGACAGTAATCATACACAGAAGCACTTTAAGTATGAACTCCAGATCTCGAATCCAGAACACGTAATTCATGAGGTAATGCGCTGCTAATCCTGTTATCCAACAGACGGGATTCTCTTTCTGCAACTTTAATTCTTTAAAATAATACTAGGGGAAAGTCGTGATTGCAGGAATTAGGTTCTGGTTATCTGCATTGTGTTTTGAATGCTAACTTGATTATAGTGTTGTTCTTATTGTTTACTCTTTTAAGAGCTGATTTATTCTGCCAATTAGAAAAGCCAGTGTTACTGCAGTTTCATGCCTACTCACTACCTGCGTATAAAAAAAGAAACACTGATTCAGCAGCAAAAATGGAGCAGTTCACCATGAAGTGCCCTTTCCTCCATCTGCAATCCCACCTAGCTTGCTCTTTCTAACCCCTGCTGTTATTAGAGTTATCAGAAGCACGTGTTACGTTGGTGAATACAGAAATGCAATGCTATAATCTTATCCTAAGTATTCCTTTCCTTAATCCAACAAAATGTAAGTGATGTCTGGC